TGTTCACTGAAGCACTCACTTGTGTAAACCTTGCGGTTCTATGCAAAAGTATGGTTAAGAGAGGGCATATCTTAGCTGCTATGAAACATTGCTGCGTTGCTGGGGATGGATAATAATTCGTAGGGGAACAATATGGTTCGGAGGGGGTCTAAGATGCTCACCCAAGGCTGTTGCATCATCCCATTAATTACTCCCACTGTGCTATGTCCTCCACTGCAGTGTACATGACCCACATGTTCAGATAGATAAGCAGGGCTGAAAAGAGCATGGGAATAGGGGGAAAGTGATAAATCAAAGGTCAGGCAAATGTACCAATGAACATATCGACTCAGCTCCTCACTGTCTAGAGTTGTATATGGCCTAAGCCTCATTTCATATCTTTACACTTGCCAGTTGGGAACAAAATGAAGAAGAGGGAGGTTGGGACTTTCTCACGTGTATTTATGAACTACTTTTGAGTAAAAGCGAACTGCAGAGGCACCCCCGGAGCCTGAAGATGGCCAGTTAGTGGGAAGGGTGCTGACGGATAAATCAGATTCTTTGATCAGGCTGTATTGATCTAGCAAAGTGCACTACATGAATCAAGAATGAGCTCTTTGTGTTTTTTTCACTCCGTGGGATGGTTGTGCCGCTGTGTTTCAGCGCAATGGTAAAACACACTTTCTCATGTAGCACCAAGATGGACATGCTGGTCATTAAGCCCAATCATGCTGACAAGTGCTGGCACTATGTTGAGAAATAAGACTTGAAGTTAACAAGAACTCAATGTGGGTATTTTAGACTTGGATGAAAGCATGTGTCTTTGTTAGCCAGAATAGCCCATGGAAGATGTGTGAGTGAAAGAAGTCAGAGCAAAGTAAAGCATGATACTTGAATCTGCACTCCAAAAAAGTCCAATATTAAGAAGTGTGTTTGTTTAGTTTCTTGTCAAAAAGAAATATCACGTTCACCTGACAAGTCGAGAAAACTTCTTATTTAAATGTGTTTTTTAATGTAACATAAGTTGTCTTCGTGATGTGTCTTTAACACATCATGTGACTCTGATATGAGGATTGATGGAAAACTAATTTCCGTGCAGACAGACAATAAAGTGTTATCTGATGTTATCTTATATGGAGCTAAAAATAAGAGCTAAATTGCTTTTAATGAGTTTAAATTACTGCCAGAGCAGCACATACGATTAACTTGTTTTTTTTGTGTTCTTGAATTAAGATAAAAGATCTAATTTTAAGAAACTTAACAAGTACATTTTGCTCGCTGCTATTTTCACTCATTGAAAGCTACTTTGGCCTGCTTTTGGCTTTTTTAAATGTTTTTTATTGGAATACGATTTTTAACTGGACTAGTCAGGTGAATGTGGCTTATATGAAGAGTAAAGAAATATTTTTGACTTGAAATGAGACGAATACACTTTAGAATATTTTAGTTTTTACAGTGTAAAATGAAAGTGGCATATACATACATTGCAAAAACAGATGTGTGTATGTTAGATAAATAGATGGATGGATTAATGGATGATAAATAGATAGATAGATTTTTCAGAAGCTAAATGAGCTAATCTTTGTGTCTTATTCTGAAGGATTAGCTACACAGTTATGTAATATGGCAGTCAGTTTAATTTAACAATGGTTGTATCGGTCATATTGCTGCCCATGTCTCTCCCCTGCTAATTGGTTATGACAGTCAATAAGGAGTCATTTATGGTTCACTCGTGTCCTTAGCAACCGCAAATATCTCTTTTTACTCCCGTGTTTCTCTGTTGGGTGTACTTGGGTGCTTTGTCAGAAGGACCAGCATCCTTATCTATTTCAAAGGGATAAACTATGACGATCCTTCTAGATTTGACGGACGGCTGAGCAGACAGAGTGTTTACACACACACACATACATACATACATACACACACACGCGCGCACACACACACACACGCATGCGCACACACACACACACACACACACACAAATATCCAGAGAATAGGATCTCAGAGAAGCAACACAGCTGCAAATTAGGTTAATCGTGCTCAAGAGAGGCCTGGTAATAACCCTCATAGAGGCTATTAAGGCGGCACCTAAATCACAGGAACATCTATCAGGAATATAAGTCACAGTCAGCCTCGGAGTTCTCGGTGAAGCCATCTGTAAGGAAGAGCCACTGGTCATAAACATCTCCAGAGAAAACACCTCATTGGAGAGCACATTTACATTTGTAAACCTGGTTCTACAGTCTGTAATATTAATAAAAATTAGGCTATTACTCTGAGTAAAACCATTTCTTTTTCTGCTTGTATATTCTATGAATATTTTTTATCGTAGACCTCCATCACTCCAGATATCTCAATCACCCAGCATCCATTTCTTTAAAACAATCTTCCCTGAACAAAAAATGTAGATACATGTACTTAACAGACACCTATGACTAACAAGCCTGTCGTAAGCCAGTGGAAACAGATGAAGTCTTTCAGGAAAGCTGCAGTGTGCCTCAGAATGATAGCATCTCTGGTGGCTCAGCGTTATAAGAGCAGCTCACCGTGGGGAACCTAAAACTGTGTGACGTCTGTGAAAGATTAAGCCCTCGATGCAGAGCCTGGGAGAGATGAATCCCTGCTGGTTTAACCCTCCAGTGAGACACTTGCTCTTTTGAGCTTGTTATATATCTATTAAATTGGATTCAATTTAAATGTATGAGAAAAATATACGTGTGAAACTCTGCATTGAAAACCCTTACAGTGGCAGGCAGAAGGTTTTAGGCTGTGTTCATTTGTTACAACTGGCACTTAGATATATTTGTCTTTTCATTCACATATTGAATTATAGTTCTGAATTTGGGTTGTTTCCTATAGGGAGTATCACAAACACTACTCAAGAAGACCCCGAAAAACGAACTTGAATTTGCCAACGTTGAAGATTTTGGTAGTTTTTTAAGGAAGTACTCCAAAGGTTTCCAATCACAGACTGTACATTATACAAAGAGATTATCTTTTTGGTTTTTACTGTTGGTTGGACAACATAAATAATACAAATTCATCAATATGGGTTTGGAAAAGTTATGACAGAAATTTTACCTTTTTGACATTTTTTTAAAGTTCAAAATGCTTCTTCAGTCTCTCCATTAGAGCTGAAATGCCTCTCGCCCTTACTCCACTGATTGGCATGGAAACACAGTTGAAACACTGAAATTATGGGTAACATAATCATCACACTATTGTATAAAAATCATTAAAACAATACACTTTTTACATACATAAGTCCATACATACATCTTTTATAATTCCAGGTGCAAAGAGAAACCTTAAGAAAAGATCAACAGTTCAGCAACATTTAATGGTATCATGCCCAGATTACTGTGATTAAAGATTACATTGAGTATTACAGTATCATTTTAAAGATCCGTTTTTTGTTTATATATTCAGCTGTTTTTTTTATTCATTTCTTTCTTTCAGGTTTGCTGCTCCATTAACGCCCACACATGATGTGTTTGTAGGCAGTCTGTTCTAAGTCTGTTACAACAGGTACAGGAGGTTTTTCAGCACATGTCAAATGCCTTTTTCTAAAAGAGAAAAGATGCTAATCATGTTAAAAACATTGTATACTTGAAGTCAAGGCTTTCTCCTTCACACATTGTGTTTAGAAAAACCTGGCATTGCAATTGCTGCCTGATAAAAATAACTACAACGCAATATGCAGCCTTATAGTCTGCAATTGCAAATTCAAAGAAACAAGTTGAACTGGTTAAAACGAAGCAGCTCAGAATTTGCCGTTCATCCCAAATCCCACTTTCGCATTCCAAATTGTGTCAGCAAGAGGCAGGGACAATCCTAAAACTGAAAATGGGTTTCTTTGTTCCTCTAACTGATCCAGGAGACAGAGATGCATCATCTTAGGGGCAGGAATTAGAGCCACTGGTGGGAACGAGATCCAGCAGGTGGCAAGGGAATCTCACGGCTCGCAGGTTTGGTCTCATTTCACTGCATGTTATTACATCTAAAGCGATCGCAGGGCAAATGAACAGACTCGATTTTAACTACAATTTGCAGAGTTCCCAATCGAGTCTTAATCAATAAACCTTTCTTACATAATTATTTTTCGTCAAAACAAAGAAAGTATCCATTTGGTATTTTGTCCTATGACTATTCTTGTTATTATTGCAACAACAACAAAAAAGAGCAGAAGGAGAAGAGCACCCAAGTGCATGTGTGTGGGTGTTTTTTGGGATGGATGGGGGTAAAGCTTTGGAACTCCCTCCAGACAGTCTGCATGGCATCTTGAATCTTTGAATCTTTGATAAGTCACCTACTACTTTATTCACAAGGAACACACATTACATGAAAACAGCTTTTTCTTTCTATCTTTCCTTTTTTTGATGGATGGTGTTGGGGGGATTACAATTAAAAAGTGACACATCATTGTCATAAGAAATGTCCTCATAAATGTACATTTTCGTTGATTTCAGCGGTTTCTTTCTTTGTCATTAGGGGTTTGTCTAAGGGCGCTTGCACTTTTTTTTTTTGTCTTCACAATAGTGCAGGAGCTGACAGACAGGCTGCATACACGAGTGTCTGTGCGCGCTGTTCGTGTGTGTGTTTGGGCTTTCAGATTATCTGAGTAGCTTCTGCCATACTGTTGGCGACCCCCAGCGTATAGAATGTGTAACTTTTGGTCATATTCTATTTTTGAACAGCACAAATTATATCCATATAAAGCCTTCGCGTTTGCATTGCCACTAAAATGACATTATAGTCGGTGTATTAGAAAGGACTTTGGTATCCATGAACCTTCATTGTCATGCTTTTACAGACCTTGTGATACATATAATTCATTTATCCATCCCAACAGACTCACATAACTTGCAGTGGCGTATATTGAAAAACTGAGACAACACACTGTCGAAAAGCGAATTCAAATGTGAAACTACATGGAAATAAATTGCTCTTTCGGATCCGCTCATCATTTGCTGATTGTGATTCAATTATTGTCACGATAAATAAAATTGTGCGTCTCTTACCTGCGTGCAACACTCCGTTTTACCCACATTTTCTCGACTGCCAAATCCGTCTCAGTCCTGCAGGTATCCTCCCATTTAGATGGGTTTCCTCCAAAGTCGACAATATCTGATAAAAAAAAAAAAAAAAAACACTCAAGGGACGGACCTTCCTCCAGCTGTCAGTAACGCAACCATTCTTTTAAGCCATATCCTTCAGCGTTGCGCACATCAAATACCTTCAATAGCTGTGCGAAATCCCACTTAAAATGTACCAGAACAATAATCAGGTCCCTTCTAACTTGCTCGTCAACAGTTCTTGTAATCGTCCTCGTTATCGGTCAAACGGAGTGAGGTGCACGCGAGAAGCAGGGCAGGTGAGTGGGAGACCCAAAAAAATAGCCTCAAACTTTGCCTCCGCGCAAAGCTGTCATTACTCTCCCGCTGGAAAGACAAAGATGAGAGCAGCGCAGGGAGAAAACAAGGCGTGTGGTTGGCATCCTCGCCGCTGAAATGTCAGCGCACGTTCTCCCACATTGTTGAAAGGCAGATGAACGTCCAAAAGATTGAATATATTGGGGGTGGAGGATGAGGATTTTCGGATCTCTGAAGCATGGAGGAAAGAAGTCACCGCTGGCTGCAGGGGGGTCCTGGTTATCTTCTCACATCTCTGCGCGGGTTTAGGGATGCGAATGGGGGTTAGACAAAATAAAAAAAATACATTAAATGAAAATGGAAAATAAATGGGTTCAACTGAAAAAAGAAAGAGGGGAGGCGAAGCCTTAAAGGAGAATCCTGGAGGTCGGGAGTTTTTTTTTTTTCCAGAGGAGTTTGGAAGAGGGGGAATGAGAGCTTGTCATCAGAGAGGAGAGGAGGCTGGTCCGTCTCCTGCTGCTCCTTTTCTTTCAGACTGACGAACGACCTGCCTGCTGAGCCCCACGCTGCCGTGACGTCATTTTAAAGCCAAATATGTCATGTGCTGGAGTGTCACACGTCATGTGCGCGAGTTTTAGACTGGGCAGTACAGTATGCTACTGAGCTCCAAAAAGCTGAATGGTAGACGAGAAATGTGGCTCTTATGCCAATATGAGTGTTGGAAAAATGGGTGCAAATAGCTGGAAGAAAATCTGGAAAACTGACAGCATTATGTCATGCCAGATGCACTGAGAGCCAGATGTTACACCCAATGTGCCTTAAGTCTGTGTGTGTTGTGGTCAAATTAAAATAACCTACAATTTGACACACCACTAAAAATGCAAGCAGGTTCATTATGAAATTAAAAGGAATCTGCACTGGCACATGATTCATCGCTTAATAGCATCAGATGCCAAAACAAACCATCATTACACCTATTGATCGGCAATTTAAGAAATAAAGGAACATGATGGAACATGTGCAAGACAGCAATCAATGGAAATACTTAAATTAAATAAATTACAGCTACAATGAGTTCATTTATTAATTTTTAATATAATACTGATGGCTCATTTTCCGCCCTGAAGACTGAGCACAAGAGACACTTGGGCGTTCCATGACTTCAGCCAATCAGCCTCTCTCTAAATGCTCATGGATTGAACGTATGCAAATAGAGGGTATAGTGTTGCGCTTTGCTTGTGTTATTATGTCGCCTTGATGTAACCACAAGGAGGCACCAAAGTCAAAAAGTTTCTTCTTCTAGGGGCTGTAATCTGACAAAATGTCATTCTTTGGTTTTCTTGATTGCAAAGACGTGAGTCCTGCCATTAGGGGTTACTTTTTTAATCAGATAAACTATGATTTTCAAGAGATGGTGGTTGTTGCACTTTGACTTAAGTCTTAAGCCATGTTAAGATATACTTTTATTGATTTCAATATTTTCAGTTTTTACACTCTGTAAGTCATGAATACACACATGCAGAAACAGGATCCTATGGACATGCACTAATGGTGGTGGAGGGGGTTTGGTGCCTTGCTCAGGGGCACCTCTGCAGTGCTCAGAAGTTGATCTGGCACCTCTTCAGCTACCAGACCAACTTCCATATTTGTTCTGCACCAGGACTTAAAGCAGCGACCCTCCGGTTCCTAACCCAAGTCCCTACAGACTGAGCTACTGCCACCCTGAGCTGCTTGTATGTGGTGCATAGAGTTGAATGCTGACATCATCATGCTCACATGCTTAAAGGTCAACAAGTTCAATTAAGTCTCAGAGGTCCCCAAAATATGTCTGTGAAGTTTCTTGCTAAAATCTGCCCCGATCCAGCATGCCTATAACCCCCTCTATTCAGCCCTGTTTCTGTGTCTGTAGCTTTAAATGCAAGCTGTTTTAGACCACACCCCTCTTGAAAGTTTTGGGCAGCTCTTGCATCATGCCCAATTGTTTACGATGAGAAGGCCGACTCAGAGGGCAGAACAAACACCTAGCCATGGGGGTGTCACCCTCCTGGCTGAGGGGTTACCGGCCTTTGTGAGGTCACAAAGGGAAAATCTCAAACGGCCTGTTTGAGCACACATTTCCTGAAAAGTGGAGCAAACAAAAGATGGAGAGGATGGACTTTTTCTTTAATTGGGGGGTTTGTAGGGACACATATTAGCGTTAAAAAAAACATGGTAAATTGTATTCTGACTAATATGTTACCTGTAAAGTGATAAGGCTAACATGCTAATTCTAAGCTGCTATTATGTTCATCATGTAACTGTCTGAGATAACTATTGTTACCATAATAAATAAGCTTCTTGCATTAAACACAATTTGGGCCCAAGTGGATGTTATTAGAGCTGCAGCTAATTAGTCATTAATAAAGTCTACTAAAAAAAATACAATGTTGCCCTGATGAAAGAACTTCTATAATCCTCTTGAACAAAGTGAAGGTATCAACATTTTTGTGGTTGAACCTGACAAGAATGTGTGTCTTAATAACTGGAACATGTCATGCTATAGCAGATATGTCAACTCAAAGTGGTGACAGAATACAATGATAAAAAAAACAACAACAAATGTTACACTTATTAAATGAGGCTTTGCGTTACTTCATGCAGGACACCGCAGCTGTAATCAGCTGACAGCCAGCTGATTGAATCATTGCTTCTTATCACACACATTTACACCAATCACAGCTCATTCTCACATCAAGGCGGCCAATTTAAACACACCTTCCGTCTCATTGACCTCTTCTACATCAATGCTGCTCACACTGCTGCTGCTAGCAAATCTTTGCCTCTACCATCCCCGCCGCATCCCTTTCTGCCTAAAGCCTTTGGTTCACCCTTGTGGGGGGTTTAGCACTGTGCATGGGCGGTTCTAGGCAGGGGCCAACAGGGGCCAGTGCCCCTGTGACACTGAGCTTGGTCCCCCCTGTGGCCCCCCCTCATAACACATACACAGTAGTTGACTAAACAACCGGACTCACAATCTAAGTATTAAATTCTGTTACTGAAATAAATATAAATCATGGTATTTTGTGATGTGTGCTATTATTTGGCATAATATATATTTTTTAAAGCGATCATCTTTGTCTATTTTTCCTGGGTTTAATGTTCCCCTCTGACAAAACAACAAGCCCCAGTTTGGCCCTCTCAGTAAAAGTGGTCTAGAACCGCCTCTGGCACTGTGCTCTCTGGAAACCTGTGGCATGCTGCTCAGCTAGACCAGGGAGCATCCTTTCATTTAAGGTTCATTTTTGTGCCTTTATTAGAGAGATAGGACAGTGATACAGTCAGGGGGAGAGGGAGACATGTGGGAAAGGAGCCACATGACGAGAGTGTTCCTGACTGTACATTCCTTTCCAAAACGCTCCTGTTTTTTTCCCTCTATTTAAATGACGCAATACTTTTTTACAGTGCGCGCATAGATGTCTAGATGTCTTTCATATTCTGTCCCACCCTTTACTACCAAACACAGGATTAAACAATAACAACTAAAATACGACAGAGTTGTTCATGCTCACTGTAACCAAACTTGTTATCTGTTCAAGTTCCTATTGTGCGCTACAGAGATTTATACATTCAACCTGCAAGAATGAGCTTCCCTTTCCTCTTGCCTTGAGCCTTTGTAGCTCTATCAAGCTTCTACACACATTCTTCACGATCGTCTAAATCAGAGTGAACCAAAGGAAACGAGGAGCCTTCCACTCAATCGAAATGCAGCTGTGTATCAAATAGAATGCTCCGAACATGATGAGACAACTTTCCTCCCAAAGTAATTGTTGCCATAAAAGCGCTCTCCTGATAAATACCCTCATTACTGCATTAGTGTGTATGCATACATTCTGATCCAAGTGGATACCTCCGTGTGAGAGGCACAGAAATAGATCCCCAGCAGACGGGAGATCATCATTCTTCCTCCATCTATCCCCTTCTTATTAACACGCTGTCTCCCTGTTTCGTATCCAGTCTTCTTGTGTTGCATGTTTGTGTGTATATGTTCTCGCTTGTTTTTTTCTCTCACAAACAACAAGTTGTCATACACGTTTAGGACTGCAAAGACATAAACGCATCACCCTAAACGTCCGTTGTTCAAACGATTAACACTTGGCCGAAAAAGTGCACATTCTAAGGATTATAATACTGCTGTGTGTCTGGCCTTTGTTAAACTGGAGCTTCCACGTATCGGTATAGGCAGCAGGGTAAACCATGGGATTTTGGTGGCCCCCGACAAATATTTCTTTTTTAAAGATTTAAAAAACACACAGTTATTTTAGCAGTAAAGAAATGATTTAAACAGAATGTTCCACAAGATAAACATATCTGTCTAGGGCAGTAAATTAGATCTTGAGGTTGGCTGTGGCTGGATAAAGGGAGATGGTGGAGAGAATATCAATGGATTGAACCTCACTGGGCTGGCTGTGGTTCAGTTAGTAGACCAAAAGGTTGGGGGTTTGATCCCTGGCTCCATGTCTACATGTCTGATGTGTCCTCGGGCAAGACACTTAACCCCAAGATGCTCCAGCTGCTTCATCAGTGGCGTACTAATGTATATGAATGGGATTAGTTACTTCTGATGATCACACTGCATAGCAACCTCTGCCATCAGTGTGTGAATGGATGTGAATGGGCGGTGTGAACTGCGGTGTAAAAGCGCTTTGAGTTGTCAGAAGAATAGAAAAGTGCTATACAAGCTCAAGTCCATTTAACATTTCTATTTACTTATGAGCACTGTAGATGCTCTCTTGTCAAAAGGAGGAGCTGATGCCGCAGCAGTTTCTTACCTTGTTCCTTTAGCAGCACTTATATCCGCTGATGGGAGAGGGGTAGAGGTTCCTGGTATGGCAGAGGTTGCTCCCTCACTCTAACACAGCTGGCTCTTTTTTTGAAATATCTATTTAATAAAATATAATTTATAACAATTATGTAAACATATTTCATGCTGCTATAGGAGGAGTTGCAATATTTCATTGATGTTTCTTGAATTTAAAATATGAAATCTAGATTTTGAAAAGTAAAACTCAAAGTTGTATCTTTTTCATTATTATGTCAAGTTTCAAGATTTTCAGGGGGACACAACTAGTGGACTGTTCTTCTTGGAGAAATAAAAAGAAACAAGTGTTTTTTCAAAATTCATGCAAAACTATGCTGTGTGCTGTTAGACTGGGTCAGGATACTCAGATTGTTTCTCTTATGTAATTTAGTTTCTTCTTGTCAAGTGACAGAACTATAACATGCCTGTTGAAATGTTTTCTTTGTTGTTGCTTGATTACACAGGATTATCCACATTAGATGTGCAAAGATCCGTAAGCCTTTCTTGCCTTCATCCCTTTTCCTCCCTGGTAAATATATACTTTTTCCCAAAGCAACGTGACCCTATTTTCTGTATTTTAGAAAAAAATATATAATTTTAATGTTTTTTAAGAATCGTCTGAAAAAAACAACATTTCATATATATGAGAGAGACAGAAGTCGGT